TCCCTTCCTCCCTCCCTTCTTCCCTCCTTCCCTCCCTCCCCCAACCCTCCCTTCCTCCCTCCTTCCCTCTTTCCCTCCCTCCCTCCCTCCCTCCCTCCCTCCCTTCCTCCCTCCCTTCCTTCCTTTCTTTTTGAGATAAGTGTCACTGTACAGCCCTGGTTGGCTTCCAACTGACAGAACTCTACCAGTCTCTGGCTCCCAATTAATCCCATTTCTGGAACTAAAGGCATGTTCCACCAGGCTTGGCACTAAGTTCTTCCAAATCATACAGACTGGCTCTATGTTGTATTTAGAGGAATCAAGGTAGTAGAATTGGCTTCTCAAATTGGCTAATCTTTTGAAAGTGTCAAGGGTACATCCCTGGGTCTAAGGAACATAGCAGCAGCTTGAATTGACATGAGAACAATCTTAGACCCAGATATTGTATGTCAAATGCTTTTGTGATGGGTAACTTTAGGTGTCTGCTCTATTGGGCTAAAGGTAACCCCATGGTACCTTTTATGGGCAAAAGATGACTTTGTGGTGTGCTGTGAAGATATTTCCTGAAGAAGTCAGCCTTGGGGCAGTCAGCTGAGTGGGTGTTGCCTGCCACCATGAGGGGGCATCATTCAGCCTGTTGAGAGCAAGACTGAAGAGAAAGGGTGAACTGCTTTCTTCTCAAGCTGGACACCCACCTTCTGCCCTTCCGACACTGGCATTCTAGGCTGTTAGGTCTTCAGATTCCATAACTCACACCTGCTTTCGGACTCAACGCTGAATCACACTACCAGCCTCTCTGGTTCTCTAGCCTTTAGACAACATATTGTTAGACTTCTCAGCTTCCATAATTGCATGAGGCAATTTCCATAATATAATTTTTCCCAGAGATTTCTTCTAGAGTTCACTTTTTGCTTTTATTTTGAAGACTGTTTTCACAGCAAATTGTACCATTCCCAAAATGCCTGCAACACACCCTCCGTTCCACAAGCTCATCGCAGAGTGTGACGCAGACATCATTGCATGGAGAGGCAGAGATATACATGGTTTCCTTTTTAGCCTGCCAGGTAGTCCACACATAGGCATGAGGCAGTGTTATCCACGATAGGAGAATATAAAGGCTATTTCTACTTGGTTCTGTTGGGACACTCCTCTTGGAACCTAGCCACCAAGCTGTGAGGAAGCCCAGGTAGCCTATAGAGAATTTGGCAAGAGAATGAGATTTGAACCTTCACCAAGAAGCCTGGCTAACAACCAGCTAACAGCTAGGTGCTTGGGCCATCTTGAGAGTCCAATGCCCATGCTCCACTGAAGCTAATGTTTGGTGTTCCCACTAAGCATTGCTCAAATAAGTTTAAGTCACTATAATTTTGGTATGAGTCTTTTATGTGGCGAGACTGTTAGTACAGTTTTCAAACTGTATAAACACCAAACATTTTTGAATTTATTTTGGATAAATTCCTTTGGTTTATATCATCTCCTCTTCCTTCTAAGGAGCTGCCTCAACCACTGTCCTATCCAAGGTCCTACCTACCAAGAGCTTCAAAGAAGGTAAGCACAAGCTGCTGCTTTTAGCTTGATTACTTAGTGGGTATAAAGAGGGAACCTAGGCTTCCACTGGCTGCCTTTTTATGTGTCCTCTGAGGGCTTTTGGGCATGTGAGAGTGGGTAGCCAGTGTGTTTTCCTTGGAATAACTGATCACAGTAGAATTATGTATTTCAGGGAGTGAACTTTTCCATGAGGCTGAAAGATAACAGACCTTCTCATACCCAGTGGGCAGGGCAGTGAACCATGTACACCTATTCATAGGGCTTGGCTTGTGTTCCTTCCTCATCTGCTTCTTGGAAGCTGAGGTCCATGCTGCCCCTGAGTATTCAGCTTGATGTCTCTGCTAGGGAGGGAGGGATTGCCATCCTTCCTGAATCAAATGCTCAGCCATATGTCAAGAGGAGAAGATCCGAATGGCCTCATTCCTCTCTGCCAGTTGCTACATGTCTCTCTTGCGCTGATCTGAAATGAACTGACACATGTTGTATGATAATGGTCACGATGCTAATTTTTCCCTTTTCAAATCAATTTTCTTCCCTTTCCTCTCTGCCATCACTCTTGTGTTCTATTCTATTTCCAGTAGAGTTCTCCAGATGAAATTTATTCTCTTTAGATAGTTTCCTTTGAATATTTCCCCAGTTCACTTTATTCTTTTTAAGCTCTAATGTTCTTTCTTTTCTTTCTGATTTAAGATGCAATTTTAACTTCCTAGCAGAAATCACCATCTTCCCGAGGACAACCTGGGTGGCCAAGCACGTATGGTGGGGGTGGATTGCGGGAGTTATTCCATCTTTTCCTCAGCTTTGGGACACTAGAAGAAAGTTCCTCAGAATAGATGCTCCATAGATGTTAAGCAGGTATGTCTCATCCACCTCAAGGATTCAAGGAACAGGGGATAGCCTAGGTACTCAACATTGCCTGTTCCCCAGCATCAGAAGACATAGAACATCACTTCACAGGTATCAAAAGGCTGTGTAGAGCTTATGAGGGGGGAGGAATCCTGTGGTCATCAGTTGTATCACCCAGTTTTTTTGTTGACATCATGAAACATCCAAGGAAGTAGACTCCATGGAGAAAAATAGATTTACTTAGCACATAATTCTGTAGGTTCATGGGTGTGGTATCTGCATTGGTTTATTTCTGATGAAGGTTTATATCTGATGATAGATGGGGGATGGCAATAGCATTAGTGTGTCCTGGCAACTGGCTGGATTTCAAGTCAAGGTAGCAGGTAGAGAGAGGGAGGGGCCAGTCTTTCCCCCTTTATAACAGCTCGTCCTTTGGTTTTCTGTTTCTTTTTTTGAGATAGGGTCTCTTGTAGCTCAGGGTGACCTTAAATTTCCTGTGTAGCTGAGGACGGATCTTGTACTCTTGATCTTCCAAAGGCTAGGATGATTGATGTGAGCCACCATATCCATCTCTGTTCATGATAATCTTCTTATGAGAATACCAAGGGGATCCCAGGAGAATTACCTCGCAATAGCTTGCCTCCCAGCGACTTAAGAACTTCTCAGTAGAACTCACCTCTTTATGTATTTTAAATTATATGCATATGTGTGTCTTTGTGTGGGTTTGTGCACAGGAGTGCACTGCCTGTGAAAGGGTGTTAGATCCTCTGGAGCAGGAGTTGCAGGTAGTGGTGAGCAACCTGATAAGGATGCTGTGAACCAAACTCGAGCCCTCTGCAAGAGTAGTTGATGTTCTTAACTGCTGAGCCATTTCTGCAGCCCCTAGGACTCACCTCTTAAAGGTTCCATTCTCTTGGTACTACCACCTTGGGGATCAGGTTTCCAACATGAACCTTTGTGAGGTCACAATTAAACCATATCACCTGTTCTGCAAATGGATCCCAGAAAGTCTTGATAGATCTAAGACCCAGAGAAAGTATGCATAGGTGTATGTGAATGCGTGCAAACATGTTTATGGGTACACATGTATATGTATGTGTTGGAGGTAGAATTGCTATTCTGTGGCATGTTGCCTGAGAATTAGTGCATCAATGAGGTCTAGAGCTTGCAGCTTTCATCAAAGCCCCAGGAAGGCATCTTGGCCCAGAAAGAGACCATAAAGCTGAGGTCCGCATCCTCAGAGTGATACATTGTAAGTGTGTTTGCAGGAACAGAGTGAGTGGGCAAGCTGGAGGTGTTCAGAAGTCCCGTTCTCCAGATTATATTCAGATAATAGAAGCTTATCAACGTGCTTGCTTCTCTGCTTAGGGTCACCAGCTTTTCATCTTCTGGATGGCAATGAGAGTGGACTTCTCTGAAAAGGCTGGCCCTCCACCATCCAAGGCCACTTTTGATGTGAGATGTACGAGTCCATGTGCACAGGTGGGCTTTTCCAGCAGCAACAAGTCCATTTGTTGTTTTGTGCAGCGCTTCATGTCCTAGAGCAGGGCTTTTTGAGAGCTCTCCTTCATTGCCCCTCCATTTCCTTCCCTGGCCAACAGCCCCTCCTAGGGAGCTGTGGCTCTCACCACTGCTTACAGTCCTTGAAAGAATAAACATCTTCACCACAGCCTCAGAATGCTGGCGTGAGATGATTGTAGACGTCTCCATGACACTCACTTATTCCTGGTGTAAATACAACTGTATTGAGGGAGGAGATGAAGAGATGCTGGAGTAGGGAGCCTGGGATACAGGCAGCTCTTTCAGCTTCCTTATCTGTCTTCTACAGGAATGAGAAGGACCTTTCCCTTTCCCTTGGTTCTCTGCCCCACCCCCTGATCGCTCACCAGCTCCACTTTGGCTTTATGCTGCTGAAATGGGGCTGGGCTCTGAGTAAGGTAGGAGGGAAGCAGCATTCGTGTGCAGGAGAAGCAGCATTTATTTAGAAGGAGGAGGAAAAAGTTTAATTGCTCTGAGTTGGGATTTAGTAATCATGAGCAACGATGACCAGCAGTGGGGGTGGCAGTACGTGTGCACATGTGTTCCAGAGGGGTCTGTGATTCGCCGCAGCTGAGCCAATGACTCATTCCAAATTTAGCGACTTTTAGAGGTCATTTTAGTCATCCTCCTGCCTTTGGGCTGGATGGAGCCTAACTTAATATCGCGTTTGATGGAGATAGTGTGCTCTGAGAGAAGAGAGTGCAAGGGAGTGGGGGGTGGGGAGGCATCACGTGACCCCTTTGAACCGATCTCCAGCAAAGGACGTTCCCTAGTTTCCCCAGGATGCTTGGGTTTCCCCATCCTTGTATCAGCATGATCCTCCCGGGAACTGCCTTTTTTTTTTTTTTTTTTCTTGATAGAAACCGGATGTTGGATTCTCAAGGTGGGCGGGGGCTCCATCCCCCTCGGACCTGTCAAGGGTTATTGAGACTCCTAGGGTCCCATTAGCCAGTACGAGAATCTACCATTTATTTAATCAGAAACTTGCCGTGCAATCTGAGCTGAGAACAGAATAGAGCAAAGACGCTACAACGCCTTTTTCCCAGGCAATGCGCATGATTCTGCGGCTCTTTGCTCGCTACACTTCAACGCACCTTGAAATGGGCTCGCCTCCTTCGCGCAGCGACGGACAGAGAGTTAAACCAATCAGCTCCTAGATTCGTGGGCAACGTCCAATAGATAGGCGGCAGAGGCGGGCCACCAGGCCAGGCCCGGCTAGGCTTCACCGTGGACCTGGCTGCGCTCTGCCTCCGCTGGCAGTGCAGGTGCCGCTGCGCCGGGGCCCGGGAGGCTGCGCGCCGAGCCGAGCGGAGCCAGGGAGGGATGGAGAGCGGGCCGCCCGGGCTGCAGGAGCACCGGCAAGGGGTGTAGGCGGGCGAGAAGCGGGCGCTGAGGCACGATAAGAGTGCAGACGCAGGAGCACTTTGCGATAGGATGAGGCTCTTGGCTGGCGCGCGGTAGTACTATGATTTGGTATGTGGCCACTTTGATAGCAAGTGTGATCAGCACCCGAGGTCTTGCGGCTCAAGGTGAGTTGAAGTGCAGCGTCCCTCCTCCAAGTCTCCTGGCTTTCTCAGACCTTCGCTCCGGGATCTGGCTCTCGAATCCAGGGGGCGAGCCTCTGGCTCCGTCCAGGCGCACCTCGGGGCACTGGCTCCAGGGCCAGGGAGTTGCGGACGGGAGGAACTAGGCGAGAAGGTGCGGGAACCCTTAGGCTGCGGGGACGAGCGTCTTGGAATCGAGGTGGACTCGGCCCATCTTGGGCCCCGTAGTCCACAACCGCACGTCGAACCCGAGCTTTGGGGAACCCCTGGTGCTCTAACTCTGGCTGCCGGAGACTTTGCCAGTCTTCCGGCAGGACTCCGCGCGTTCCAGCCCTCCTTGCACAGCACCGCTGGATGGAGGAGCCCTTGCAGGGAGGCGCGACCAAGAGCTTGGGACCGGCTCTCTAAGGGACCCGGTTCTCCGCCCTGCGCCCTTCCTTTCCGTATATCTTGGCAGCGGAGGTCGGATCCCGTTGGCAGGTGACAAGCAGAATTGACCTAGCGACTCCGAGCAGCATCTGCTCTTCCTGGCCCTGGCGGCCGCCCGCGCCCACCCTAGCCGCACCTGGGCCCCGGCCAGGCAAAAGTTCCCGGGGAGGCGCCATCACCGCGCCACGCTCGGGGCTGCCGGGCCCAGCGGCCTGGGGGCGAGGGCCGCGAGGGAGGGGTCTGCTCCGCTGCGTCTCAGAGTCGAGCGGGATTTTTCTTCCTGCCTTCTCGAATCTGAGGCCAAGAAGAAGCTAGGGAGAAGCCAGGGCGCGGGGTGCATACTTGAGCGCGAGGGCTTTGGAGATGGCAGAGCTCTGGGTGGCACCCGGCTCTCGTCCCTTGTATGGAAGTCAGAACCGAGCCTGAACTGCCAGGACTCTGAGCTCAAGATTTCTCCTGCGCGCCGAACGGACCCGGCTGCGGGCAAGTTCGCAGAGCAGGGAGGAGATGGCGGCGGGAGAGGAACGGTCTGTGAGTGGAAGGTGGCAGGGTGGCCGGCAGGGTGGCGAGGACCTGCGGACCAGGGAGCCTCTTGGAAGGGCTCTGCTGGAGGTGCGGGCTCCAGGCGGCTTCTTTGCACCTTGCCTGGGGGCGTGTTGGGGGGAGTGGTTTGAGAAAGTTTCCGGATTGGAATGTGTCTCCTCTGCTACTTGAGAGGGGACTCTGAACAAGAGACCATCAAAAACCGTGATGGTCGGGATGGTTCTAAAGCTTTCCGTTTGTCAGGTGGGAAAACTGAGACAGGGTGACCTCAGAAGCCTATGGAAAAAGGGTGGATCTTGCTGTGCCTCTCCCCTCCCCCGCTCCCATGCAGTCTTTCAGTGACCTCCTCCTCCTCCCCTCCAGGTTTTGGTAGGATCTGCTGTGGGACTGTCTCTGCAAGCACAAAAGGCTGTGCTGGGATCAGAATCGAAGAGACACTGAAGGAAGGCTCTGAACTAGACTCCCAGCCTCAGCGAGGGTATAGGCATGGTAAAATTAAACACAGAAAAAGGAAATTGGTTTCATATTGCAGCGATTCGCCGAGTGGCTAGACAGAAGGAGGAACTTTCCAGTGTTGAAGGTTGCTGGGCATGAAGGTTATTAGCCCTTATATCTGGAACCCCTGCTTCTATCTAGGAGCAAGTGTGACCCAATTGGTCTTGGGTCTTTTTTAGTCTAAAATGGTTCTACGAGGCCATCACAGGCATAGATTTACCAATAAATTGACAGGATTCAAAGCCTGGCTATTCCATTTGCTGACCCTGTGACCTTGGACAAATCTCTCAGCTTTTCTAAATGTCACTTAAACCTCAATGGGAAAATGGGTTAGCTGTATGAACTTGTCGAGACTTGGGGTGTGTGTGAACAGTACTGTGACGGAGAAGTGACTGACTGCCTGTTGTGAAGTGTGTGCTCACCAAACGTCATTATTAGTATTTTAGTATCTGTAGGATTCCTGCCTCCTAACCAGCTTCTTTCCTTTGGGCTATTCAGGGAGCTGGGAGTTAGGCGTGTGTTGGGGGACATTCAAAGGTCTGCCTGTGAGGAGGCTAGACCCCTTCATGGGCTGACCTTGTCTGGTAGAACCTCTTGTTCCCTGCATCCCAGTGAAGTGTGGGTGGGGCATGTACAATTGCTTGGGAGTCCTTTACAAGGTCTGCAAAGCTGAAGTATTGCTGGCTGCCAGATGCTACGGGAAGGATGCAGAGTCCAGCCTACCGAGGGGGAAGGGCACCCGCTCGCCTGAGAGGCCAGGGTTGGAGTGCTGGTGAGAGGACTTAGGGGGTCTGGTTGTTCTGTGAGTGGCAGAGGTGACTTCTGGAGAAATCCTCCAATCCCAGGGACTGTAGGATGCTTCTTCTAGAACTGTCTAAAGCAGGGGCCACTCTAGGTGAAAGGGTCAGGTCCATCAGACTGCCAGGTTGGGACTGTCAGCTTGCAAGTCTGGGACAGAGGTGGGTATGGACTCTTTCTTTTGACTCTGGTCAGGCATTTTGGAAGTAACCAAGATCGATGTTCAGGTTAGGAGGGTAAAGAAAAGAGGAAGGCTATTGATGCGGTCTCTGCACCCCAGACATCGGCCCTTCAATCTGGGGGAGTTTCCACAGTATTCGGAAGTCATGAGCTGGGTATAATTGACTTTCAACTTCCTGCAAGGAAGAGAAGTCTGTTCTGTATTCCCAGTGCCACCTCCCCTGTCTGCCACAGTCTGTTGGTGGACGCCCTGGCTCCTGAGTGCCCAGGTAAATTAGGGTCTGACTCAGACTCTGCTTGTGGTTGGAGCAGTGCCCTCTAACTGGCTTTGACCCACCCCGCTTACCTTTGTTGATAGAGATGGAAAGGAGTGTGTTTAAACCCCTGGACAGCCTAAAGCTGAGGACTTGGCTCAGGAAGTGGGTAGTGAGTGCTGGTATGAGTGTGTCTCAGGACATTTACATGGAGGCGGAGGTGTGTCTGGTAGGAGGCCCCCTGCAAGAAACCAGAGTGGGAGGAGGCATGATGCTGGGTACTGGAGTTAGCTCATAGCTGTGGGCCTGTGGCCCGGCATACGTCAGTCTGTGGAGTTGTCAGGTCCTAGGCGCAGGTGGTTTCATGTTTATATGTCTGAAACAGAAAGCTGGGATCTGGTTTCTCAAGGAGCGAGGGTTGCCGGGCTAGGAGATACTGGAAGCTGCTAGCCCTGGCTTCTTTGCTGTGCCTTGCCCTTTCCAGTGTCTAGGTCCCCTCTCTGCCCTCTCCTCAGCAGGGCAGCCCCTAGCTCACATGAATGCCTCTGCTTTGTTTTTTTCTCAGTTCTGCTGGGTGCTCATTGGGTCTCCCTGCAGCCCCTCAGTTTGCACTGAAAATGTGGGGGTGGGAGGTGAGGCCCAGTCAGGAGAGCACTATGAGCAGTGAGTGAGATTTAACTGGTTCTCTTCTCCACGAGAGCTGCTCCCTTCTGTGGGCTTCTCAGCTGGGAGCCCCCAGGTAGTGATCCCCTTCCCTCTGCTTCCACGGATGGGTTGAGCAGTTTGTGTGAAGAGTGGATCTGAATGAGCTGTGGTTGGTAAGAGCTTTCAGCTTTTTTAGAAGAGTGTGCATGTATGTGCGTGTGCATGTGTGCATATATGTGTGCATCTCAGTATGTGTTATGTGTATTCCTATATGCATGTGTGAATGTGCATATTTTAAATGTATGCACACACACACACACACACACACACATTCCTGTATACATACATCCTTCTGTAATGGTGTTCACACTTAGACATGTGTATGCATGCACGTACAAGCACTTGTGTGTTTATGTGCACATACAGTGGATTACGTCAGGACAAGAGCAATTATGTATAAGTTTGAGGTGGGAGCCCCTCTTTCGAGTACTATGGGATGCAGGGAGACTGCTCAGCAAACTGTTAGCTTCCCTGTTCATTGCTCTGCACCTGCATCCAGGCAGCCCAGATGTTCTCAGAGTTGAAGGCTCCAGCCCAAGGCAGGGACGGAAGACTGCCTGAGGTCCAATAGAGAAAGCCTTAGTGTCAGGGGAGAGGCTTGGCTCATGGGGAAGCTGACTGCCTCTCTTGCTAAGAGGCATTAGTTGCCATCAGCCTGGTACAGTCCAGCGTAGACAAAGCTCTGGGTGCCCGGGGAGATGGGAGAGGGTTGGGGTTGGAGAAGCAGCTTGCAGTCAGGCTCGGCCCCAGGGGCACTGCCCATGGGTGTGGCCTGGTCTGCCTGAGGCAACTGACCTATTTTTCTTAGAAATCTTCCTGCTTTCCTGTTCGCTCTTGCATGAGTAAGCAGGAGAGTGGTGAGTAGAGACGGGGCTTCTGTGAGGTTTTGTAGGTTCCGTGGGGGTCAGGGCTGTGACAGAGGTCTCGGCCGGCCTGCCTGAACTTCTGACAAGGAGGAGACTGATAACTTGGCCTTCTGCCCTCTCTGCTCTCCCTTCATCTTCTTCCTGGTTAACTGTGCCCATAGATAGGGGGCTGTGGCATAAAACTTGTCCGTGGGCACAGGTTTTACCCGGGAATCATCGTCCTCTCCCTGGTTTGGAGCAAGGATGCTGCTGTTGCTCTACCTGGAGTAATCTCTCACTAGATACTACTGTGCCTGCCTGGCTGTGGGGCCCTCACTGGCTAGCCTTGCTGTGTGCATACCAGATTGCCCTGTGGGGTACACAGGCTCTGTGAGGACGGGCTTCCATCCAGGTGGTGGAACTCAGGTGGTGGGTGTAGGGGGTGAGGCTTCGCTTTTCTGCAGAGGAGCTCTGAACTGAGATTGAATTACAGACTTCCTTCCTGTCTGTGGCTCCTGGGGAAAGGGCTCTGGGAAATATAATCTAGCCCGGCAAATTAAGGTCGCTAATAGCATTGCCACCTCACAGTGGCTGGGGGGCAGTCCAGCCAGAAGGGTTAGAGGGTGGAGCCCCAGCCCACCTAGTACCTTGCTGTTCCTAAAGTTGGGGCTTACCTGGCGTGGCCCACTATCCCTTGGCTTTCTTGGGGAGGGGTCCAGAAAGGTTGGGAGGATAC